CATTTGTCCTAACTCTTATTCCTACGTATCCTACAAACTTCTAGGTAGCTTGTAGTTCAATTTGGATCCATATATACATACACCCCGGCCATCTACATAAACTATGTATTGAATAATCAATAAGAATGCCAATTATATATACTTCGAACTTAGTATCCCTTATTGTTATTGTGAAAAATCAGTGTGGTGCTGAGATTCAGTTCTTTGTAGTTCTATTACACTCTGACTTGGAATAAATAAATAAATTGGGTTCATTATTTCATCCCCCAATATTTATATAGAGCACGTGCATCATCTGGTACTCTGGGCTTATTGCCTTAGGGTGTCTTCGGACCTCTAGGTTCCCAACCAAATCCCTTGTTTTTCACGCGCACGCTTTTCAAACTGCTAAACGGTGCGTTTTTTATAAAAAGTTTTTATATGAAAGTTGCTTAAAAAAATCAAATTAATCCATTTTTTTTAAATAAATAGCTAATACTTAATTAATCATGTGCTAATGGAACGCTCCGTTTTCCGTGCGGAGGCACTGTGTTCCCATCATCCACATGTGAACACAGCCTTAGAGCTACCTAGCTAGTAGCCATTGATAATGTCACATGTGACGCGTCTATCTTTTATGGCACAATCACAATATTAATTAATGTAAGCTTTATTCTTATATTTAAGACACAAGTATTGACTGCTTTATTTGTTAATTATGATTTGGGGATTTGCTATATATAAATAGTGGAGATTTGATTTGCTAGCTAGGGTGTACAGCGGGACTATCTAGATATTTGTCGACAAATTTTTTTCATAAAAATTTAATAGATATTAATATAGTACAATTATGATATAATTATATTATAATTTGTATATAATATTAATTTATGGTGTAGTTATATGTGCTCCATGGATAGATATGAGGCAGCCGCACTCACCATATCGGTGTGATTTCGGTTCTTTCGATGCCCACCAGCAAAAACCAGGGATTCGAAATTGCAAACCACACATGACTCTCGCCTGTGCACATGAACTTCTAGGACTTGATTACGCACGTAAAGCAAGGGTAGAGGGATTGAGATCCTCTACAGTCACTGCATTGTGCCTTTGTTACTGACATGCGAGTTCAATAATCTCCGGATCCACATGTTAGTGACAAAGGCACGGTGCAGCAGTCGGTTGTAGAGAATCCTGATCCAGGGTAAAGACCCTGCTAGTTGCCTCCTCACGGCGCGCTGTACCTATATGCCCGCTTCCTACTCAGCAACCTCACGGACCGCGACTTAATTCTACATTTCCACGGGCACGGTTTGATTCCGATTCGTTTGGATTCAACCCACAGACAGAGAGGCATGTCGCCCGCTGTACGGGAGTTATCTTCTCGATTGACGCCTGTTGCACGCGCATGTCCCAACAAATCTCAGAGCACTAATGTTCTTGCATATACCAACGGACTATAATTACATTCGAAAGTTTAATTTCTACTAAAAACTTATGACCGTTTTTTTTATAGTCCCTTTGGGATGAGCCATGACAACCAAAGTTTCGCCAGATGCCGATCTTTTTAATATTAGGAGAGACCCTTTTAGTGCTTATAGCAAGAGACCGTGTGGACAACCTGAATCCCCTAATATAACCAAGGTGTTTATTACAAAATGTTTTTTTTCTTTAGACAACTGGAAAACGACGCCTGTCTTGTTTTAGCATATATATATATATATATATATAGCCGTACGTCAGTTGATCTTTTTCATCTGATATAATCAAGTCAATAGGGTCGACGTTCCTGCTTAATTACACGTACGCCCGACAGCTACATAGAGAAGCAGGAAACTAAACTCATCATCAGATTGGCGTCACGGCGGCCGGTCGGTGTCTGTACGACTGTACGTGATGCAAGCTACATATGCACAGGCACATGTGATACGATCTGCCGAGGATCACGTTCGCTGTGTCACGCTAGCTTGGGTGGAACACTTGTCACTTGTCTGCATGATCGTCGGTCAACAACTTGTGATGTGTCCTCACGAAGCAGGCAGTGGCACGCTCGTACGCATCACCGATCGATTCCTGATGCCTTCCAAGCATATAGGAGTACCTATATAGCTAGCTGCAGGATGGACAATGCCTTAGCTTACTGTTTATTATATATGTACATATATTTTGTGTAGCCGGTCTTACTGTTTATTTGCACCCCGAGCCCTAACAATCCAGCAATCCCTCAATCCCATAAAAAATAAATGTAGGACCGGATGTGACATATTCTAGTACTACGAATCTGAATATATGTATGTTCAGATTTATAGTATTAAGATGTGTCACATCTGATATTAGGTTGATTTTTTATGGGACGGAGGATATATCCATGTGCATCGATCGTTGGTATCTCCTAGATGTAATGCATTCCAGCTGCACCTCCTTTCTGGACCCACCTGTTAACTATAGCACACACCCTAGTTATTTCTAGCTATTTTAAGCCAGGGTAACTAGTATACCATTAAATAATTACACTATTAGATGTTTAAAACGTGTGTGATTTTACCATCCTTCAGGAGGTATTGGAAGGTGTCACACTTTTTAGTGTAAAAAATGATATATTTCGATACCTCATAAAATTTCTCTTAAAACATGCATAATAGGAAAAAAAAGGCCAGAATAAGAAAAACACAATAATTGGAGTGACATGTTTCTGAAGTTCTACAGGAAAGAAGAGGAGGATCCCTTTAATAGCATCACAAGAAAGAAAAAGGCACAAAGGTTTCGAAAAGATTTGAGCTCTTGCTTATTTTCCTATGATATTGAGCCATAGAAGCATAATATAGAAAATTCCGATCTTTCATATGAATCAAAGGGCTCCCTACTAAAAAAAGTCTTAGGAAGTTAAATTCTCGAAAATACCTTTGAAAATCCTCCATCTCAAAGGGAGCCGAAAAATGTAAGGATTCATACTAGTTTTCGCTTTGGGTTCACAACTAGGTATCGCTGTGCTAGCACTGCCAGACAAAATACAAGATATTCGGTGCGTGGTCGCACTGGTGGAGAAAGGGGCTTTACTCGCGGGTGGGAACCCCCCTATACTCCCGGTTATACAATCGGGACTACGAATCCAGGACTAAAGATGCCCATCTTTAGTCCTGGGTAAAATAACCGGGACTAAAAATCCATCTTTAGTCCCGGTTGATTCTTTTTTTTTCTCAAATTGATCTGCTCCCTAAATATCCTCAATCATATCCTCAAATTATCCACAAACCAAACTAATATCACAGATCTGGAAAGAAATGCATCACAGATTAGGAAGAAATGCATCACAGATTCTCAAACAAAAAATACATCACAAATCCTAAAAGAAATACACCACAACTCAAATACATCCCAGATGAAATCCAATATCACATACATCACAGATCAAATCCAATCCAATATCACATACATCACAGATTAAATCCAATGAATCACATATTAAAAAAAAATCCGGCAGCAGAGGGGAGGGCGCCACCGGCCTCCTGTCCTCTCGCCTCCGTGCCAGCACGGCCGGCCGCCGCGCCCGGCCGCCCGGCCGTCGCCGCTCCCGCCCGGCCGCCCGCCACGCCCGCCGCGCTCGCCCGGCCGGCCGTCGCCGCTCCCGCCTAGGCACTCGCCCGCCCAGCCGTGCCGCTCCCGCTCGGCTGGCCGCTCGCCGCGCTTGCGCGGCCGGCCGGCCGGCCGGCCGCCGCCGCTCCCGCCCGCCCGGTGCTCCGGAGAGGGGAAAGGGGCGAACGGGAAAGGAAGGGGAAGGGGAGAGGAAGGATCAGATGGGGAATGAAGGGGAGAGGAAGGGATGGAGAGGAAATATTAATGAGAGGGGAGAGGAGATCGAGAGGAGAGCGGATAAAGATGGCGCACGCGGCTCGAGGTGTTCTTTCCTCCCGGTTGGTATAAGCAACCGGGACTAAAAATAGATCTTTAGTCCCGGTTGTTTATACCAACCGGGAGTAAAAATAGTTAAGGTATATCTTGAACCTGACAATTTCTTGAACCGGGAGTAAAAATGATCTTTAGTTCTGGTACTAAAGATGCTTTTTAGTCCCGGTTTTTATTAGAACCGGAACTATTGTGAAATTTGGCTGACCGACCAAAGATGGTTTCTCCACCAGTGTCGACTGGTCATTGCGTCTACCTCCGATCATCCGTAACAAGCGTCAAACGTTGATGTGGTTCAAAGAATGCAACATCACCTACAGCCGGCTGCTCTAGCACAACACACTCATCGGAGCTGCCCGTCGGCACATTGTGTAGAGAGTAGAGATGTAACCGATGCCTATAAACATCAACAACTCCTCGCTCGAAGGAGAGCAAACACAACGGCGATTGCAAGCAGGCACTATCACTACAAGAGGAACCCTCTTTAGCAATACATATATGTATTGCTAAAAGTCTCTATAAGTATTGCTAGGGTCTGCACCAACGCATTTAATATGCGTTGCCTATGCTGCCGTTGCTAGGATCAATTACAACACATAGACAACCGTTGATAACAAGTGGAAATAAGCGTTGCTACTTAGCAACAATTTTAATAGGTTTCAGCAATACTTATATATGTTGTTCCCTTGAGAGATGAACAGTTTTATATAATCTTAGCAATGGATATAATCAAGTTGCTGCAACATGTACAAATATTGTAATTTGAGCTATCCACTGTAGGTGGCCTTTGACCAATTATTTTGTCAGGCAAGAGACCCATGAACTCAAAGCATGCACAAGTGGCAATAGTCCAATCAATCATGATAATCGATTATATATTAAATATAGTATTTTGCATTACATAGACAATCATCAGTATAATTCATGGCATTAAACCTTTGTTCAGAACATTAATGCAGAAAATAGAATCTAAAGTATATAAAAAAACACATCTTGTTGCCCCCATTCTCCACCTTGCAGCCATCATCATTCCGTGACATGTACAGGTGACCTAGTTGCGTACTAGCAGTCACAAAATTTCCCCCACATCTTCACCCATTTATCTTGTCAACCTATAATAGAAAAAATATATAAGCATTAATATACCATTATGAAGACGAAAAGCACATCTCCGAAGTAAGAAGTAAGAGATAGGAACATATAAAAATTGCAGGCCACGCAATTTCAAGTCCTACAACATGACCAACAATTTTGTAGCCTTTGTATGGCCTAATCAAATCTTCGGATTTTGCCAATGCAAGATCGACATGAACCATTAAAAATTCATTTCCTAGCTCAACACCTCCAACTCTGCGTGTTGGATCACAGCTTACAATAGTGGCAAGAGCCACGTTTGTATTCCGATTTTTCCAACTTTTTAAGAATACTTTAGTTCCAACCTGAAGTGCATAATACATCCATCAATATTATCAATATACTTTAAGAAATTCAAGTATCATAAATAATTTCACAGTAAAATACCTCCATTGAATTGTCAGTGATAAAGTCCATTTTGCTGCACTGTTGTTCCTATAAAAAAAATTGGATCATGGTTTGCAATTTAACCACAAGATAGAAAGAAAGAAAGACCAAACAGAGCTAATTATTGTTCTCCAATTCAATCATAATACTAGTGAATCATGCATGTTATAGTTTGAATGGACTGATATTTGTAAACATGGTGAATAAAAAAACAACCTTGTATGCACCACCAACTTTATGTGCATGTACCATATGGCTGTCCTGATTGTCAGGTTTCTTGTTCTATAGGGGAGGGCAACAAATTAGTGCTAAAATTATATATATTAAGAAATTTTACTTTCAAACTTTTCTATCAAATAATTTTTGAACTCAATAAGAAGTGAAAACTAACCTTGGCACAAATAATCTCCATCTGTTTCCCATGGTCATTTAGGCCAAAGGTTCGTTTGTTCTAGAATAAAAGAATACATCACATTGTCATGAACTATAGTAAACATTCATAGTTAGTTACAAACAATACCAAATAATATAATGCTATGTATCCATGATAACCATATAATAGGATGCAACCATGGTGAGTTCAGAATAAAAATATAAATTGAAAGACAAGGACCTTGTGTGCAGTAGCATGCTTGGTTGGTGGTGTCTTATCCTCATCTTGAGCATGGCTTTGTGAATTCTGTTGTCAAAGAGAGCATATATTCCCAGTTACAAAATAGTGCAACTATTCCCATGTATAAAACAATGAAATTTATGTATATTACCATCACAATGTTTTCCTGTTCAACATGACAAATTTCTTGCAAGGGACCGTCACCATACACTTTCTATCACAGTGGAAAATAAAAGGACATTAAGACCAGATTTTATTAAACTATTTAGACTAAAATGTTAGCAAGGTTTACCACTGTTGAATTGTCAGTTAAAAAGTCCATTGTGTTGCATTGCCGTTTCTGAAAAAATAGAGAGAATTTACAGTAAAAACCAACATGCTGTGTGTGCTATTTTAGTTGTTGTGTAGTGTTCAATAAACAGAAATAGCATTTTGAACTTGAAACAATTAGACTAACCTTAGAAGCAGTACTATACTTGTTTAGGCTTGGTCTAACAAGCTTGCGGGTAAGGTTCTCTTTGTTCTGCAATACAATTATTATAACTAGTAAATCATGTGTGTTATAGTTTCAAAGAGCTTATATCTGTAGACATGGTGACTTAAAGTGATGAAAAAATAACCTTGTGTGTACTTGTAACTTTGTGTGCATTCACCATATAGTTGTCCTGGTTGTCAGGTTTATTGTTCTACAGTGGAAGGTAACAAATAAATTTTACAAATCTATATATACATTTATATATCGAAATTAAACTACTTTCAAACACTTATTGACTATGGCATTGAGTTTGAAAGGATAAAGAGAGAACTTAATCAACTCACCTTGTATGCACTAGAAATACTCTTCCCTGGTTGCATAAGCTCATTCTGGTCCAAATTTCCTTTGCGCTGCAATGGAATAGGTCATAAAATTGGCACAAACTATAATGTTCCAATTATTTGTTTATGTTTGCACAGGAAGTAATCTTCCTTTGCTTCCCACTGTGATTCTGGCCCAAAGACTGTGTATTCTAGAGTAAAAGAAGGCATATGATTATAATGAATGCTATGTAAATAATAGTGAATATATATATAATAATATTTTAAATGCAAAGGCAAGGACCTTGTAAACAGTAGAATGCTTGGTTGGTGGTTGCAAATTCTCATCGTGCACATGGCTTTGTGTATTCTATTGTAAAAGAGAGAAAATAAATGCTATTCCCAAGTAAAAAAACACAGCTATTCCCAGTTATAAGATGGTGCTATATCACATTACCATCAAACTGTTGTCCTGCTGATCCATAATGTTTCCCTCCTCAAACATACAAATTTCTTGCGAGGGGTTGTCACCATACACTCTCTGTCCATAACAGAAAATGAACAGAGATCTATACCACAGTTTATGAGATAATGCAGAAAATGTTATGATATTTCTTCCATAAAGATACATACCCTCCTTTTTGAATTAGGTACGTCATCACAAATAGCTTTTTTATTTGTAGATGCTCCATCTAAACCTCCCTGTAACTTCAATTAGGTAAGTTAGATGCATTCATTGGGTCACACACAAGTTCATATAATTTTTTTAAGACTCAACTCCCTTAAATTCACCTGATTCTTTTGTGCCTTTTCCAACTTGGTTGCCTTCTCTTTTAATTGTAAAAGTTCAGCATCATTATTCTCAACATGGCGTTCTAACTTTTCCATCTGCAGTCTAATAGCCATTACATCTTCACTGGAGTTATCCTCCACTGTAGTAAGATTTATATTCTGCAAACGTCGGGAAGTTGGCACATCAAGCACTTGTTTAGGCTTTGGAACTAGTCCAAGACCATGCACACGCCCAGGCTTGTCATCTCCTAGTATTTGGTTCAATGCATCTCCTTTCCAAGCAGTCTTTCCTTTACTAGCATCCGCTAAAGCTGGTTGTTCAGCTATAAGTCTCTTCAAATTATCCTAAACATATGAAAAATTAATACGAATAAAACAACATATGAGAATAACTGAAAAATATCTATGGTTGAGTGTTAATAGTATACCACATGCCCATTTATATTCTTGTCACTTTTGCGCTTGTGTGTGTGGACATAAACAACAGCTCTATGTGGGTACTTCTTTGCAGGATCTTTTTGTCTCTATGGAACACATGACCAAATCAGTAAAGTCCTAATAGTAGCTATACATGCTTGAAATGGAAATAGATGAATACTATTCAAGACATGTTTTACCATCTCTTCTCTTGTGCGAGCAAAACTCTTTGTCCCTGCTGTGTGAATTGCCTTCTTCTTTTGGCAGTTTTTCTTATTCTGCTCACTTATTCTCTGTTATGGTCTCGTAGAGTTAGCAATCAAAAAAGAATATTGCATTGTTTTGTTTAGTACAGAGTTCTAATTTGTAAGACCATTACAGAAATGAATATGGTATATGTACCTTCGATTTCTCGTTCATCCAATGATTGACAAGAGCAATCCACTGGTCAGAAAGCACACCTTCTGGGACATTGTTGCAATTAGCTTCCTTAGTCTCATTCACATCAAAATACAAATCTTTTAGTTTTGCTTTATATTGCCGCCATCTTTCTCCAATTTTTTTTAATATGAACTCTTCCATCCGAGGAGCATAAAGGAATCTCATCTACATATAGCAACACAGAAACTCATATGGCCATATGGGGATATGCATAACATAATACAAGAAGTTAGCAAAAATGTTGATCTGAAAAGGAATTACCTTTACTTGCTTAAGTATGTCCTTTTTAACTTTTAGTTCATTTGTATTTTTCTCTCTCTTTCCTATTACATATCTCCAGTCTGTGTAGCCTAAGCTACACAGACTACCATTCCTAGCTATCATTCCAAGAAATTTACCCAAAACTCCAGCTTCTTCCCCTACCGCCTGATTGAGATCATTGCATTGTACCACAATTCTAAGCCCTTTCGGAAGGTTCCAAACATCTTTCAGTTTTGTCTTGCCACGTGTTTCAGGTGCTCCATTTTCAACTGTTCGGTGTTAAATTGCGAAGACAAAAGTGATCCTTAGTAATCAGGGATACGAGTAATAATGTCATTATTTCTTACCATTAGGACTATTAAACTTAGCAGTTGCCTCGAACATTAATATCAACATCAGTATCTTCATTGCCTTCATCATCAATATCAACATCGTCATTAGTGTCTTCATTGCCTTCTCCATCATTGATATCAAAATCGTCATCAGTGTCTTCATTGCCTTCTCCAGAATCATCACATACAGTTTTTTGTTCAGATGGTGTGGCAAGCTGTGGAAGGGTATTTTCTTCTTCAGTCTGTTCCTCTGACAAATATTCCTCATTGCTCTGAACAATACGCCTTCTTCTACTCCTTGCCATATCTCTTGCACCCAAAAAAAACCTATCTGTCATTTATGGCGTCGAAAGTATATCATTCTCATTTCAGAAGTAGGACTGTGCTGTACATAGTTTCAAAAAGAATAATTTCAGAATTGATTATACCCTGAGCCATTTTGGATTTGTTTTTGAAGAACAACAGAGTACTGTTGTCCCAAAAGTAATGCTATAATATGGATCTGTTTGTCATACTCACTAATTCATTTGTCCATTTTATAGGCCAACAATTTGAAACAAGTAATGGGTAGAAATAACAAAATTTAATTGGCTGCAAGGTAAAACTAGATCACATATTTATTGCTTACAGTTGTGTGAAGCCTAGCTGTACGTAGACCAGGCTCCTTCAGCTATGGACGGTCAGTGCATCTGACTCCAAACCTGAAAATACAACATATCAAATTGGTAAGTATTGTAGTACTGGAAGGGAATTAGCCTCCATTGCAATTTGGCGACTCAGAGAGGTAGTAAGATGTGCAGAGGGAGGCAGAGATTCCAGGGCTTGGAAACATTGCCGCTAGCCGCGCGGCGTGGAGCAGAGCGAAGTGGACAGCCGGTGTCGGGAGGTATAACCCGCATCAATTGCAGTGCCCCGGTCACCCGGCACATCGGCTGGGGGCGTCTCCGGCCCGCCGCATGCCCTACATCATCCATGGGGCATGGGGGTCGCCTGCTCGTGGCTGTTAATCGGCAGGAAGGTGCGACAGCAGTGATGGCTGGTACAGCAGCCGACGGAGCGGAGCGGTGGAAGATCTAGGAGCGCCTGCTTGGGGCGGTGGGTCAGTAAAGTGCCCGGCATCTTACCTACAGATCAACACCGATGAAGACGAGGAGGAGAACCGTAGAACGACGGGAGAGTTCGTAGGAAAGGGGAATCCCACAACAGAGGAAAGAGATTTACTCAGGGAGTCAGGATAGAGGAAAGAGATTTTTAGGGGCAGTTGGCTTGCTTTTCTCGATGGGGAAGGTGGGGGCAAAAAAAAAGTTGGCGGCAAAAAAAAGAAAACAGAAAAAAATTGCGGGAGCAAAAAAAAAAGGAGGGAAAGAGTGGAGGGAGAAGAAAATAATTTTCGGAGAGGCATAAATTGCTAAATTCAGATCGATTTGGGGTTGATTTGTCCGTCAAACTAGTTATTTAAATTATATTAGCACAATCAAAAAATCACATTTTATTTCATTGTCGATCTTGTCCGGACAGACCGCATGAAAAATTATATATAATTAAATAACAGTGATTTAATTTTTTTAGCACGACCAAAAAACAAGTGTTTTTTCATTGTCGGCCCGGTCCGGACAGACTGGATGAAATTCGGACGTAACATATTTTGGTTAGTTATTTAATTTATCTAAGCACGACTGAAAAGACACGTGTTTTTCCATTGCCAATCCGGTCCGGACAGACCGCATGAAAAAGACATGTAATATATTTTTGGTCCTAAAATATAGTTATTTAAAAAATGTTAGCACGATAAAAAAACACGTGTTTTTCGTTGTCGACCCGGTCCGGACAGACCGCATGAATATATATATATATATATATATATATATATATATATATATATATATATATATATATATAAAATTAAATAACAGTGATTTAATATTTTAGGACAAAAATACCACGTGTTTTTTCGTTATCGACCCGGTCCGGACAGACCATATGAAATCTGGACGTAAAATTTGTGTTAAAATAGTAGTTAGTTAATTTATAACGACCAAAAAAAATTGTTGACCCGGTCCGAACATACGGGATGAAATTCGGACGTAACATATTTTTGTCTTAAAATAGTACTTATTTAATTTATATTAGAACGTCCGAAAAGACACGTGTTTTTCCGTTGTCGACCTGGTCCGGATAGACTGCATGAAAAAGTGGCATAATATATTTTAGGTCTTAAAATATAGTTAATTAAAAATGTTAGCACGACAAAAAATTCATGTGTTATTTCATTGTCGACCCGGTCCGGACAAACCGCATGGAAAAGAGATGCAATATATTTTTGGTCTTAAAATATAGTTATTTAAAAAATGTTAGCACGACCAAAAAAATCACGTGTTATTTCATTGTCGACCCGTTCCGGATAGACCACATGAAAAATATATATAATTAAATAACAGTGGTTTAATTTTTTAGACAACAAAAACCACGTGTTTTTTCATTGTCGACACGATCCGACAGACCGTATGAAATCTGTACGTAAAATATTTTTTTGTCTTAAAATAGTAGTTAGTTAATTTATCATAGCACGACAAAAACACGTGTTTTTTCGTTGTCGACCCGGTCCGGACAGACTGGATGAAATCCGGATATTCTTAAAATAAGTTTTTGAATGGTTTATTTTTAAAATTTTAAAATAAAAAAGTTCAAAAAATTAAAAAATTTCTGGGGCAACAGAATTTTTTTTCCCGTTCAAGGAGAGGAAAAAGTTTTTAGGAATTGACACTAGAGAAAAATGAAAAGATTATGCATTTGCTAGTTCTCGAACTAGAGTTGTCAATACAGTAGAAGAAGCTAAGTACCACTAGGCTATGTCCCCCTTTATTTATTTTTTCACGTTAGCTGCAATTGAGAATGTAAATAGACTTCTCGAGGTATTTATATAAGATGGAAATTTAAATTCTGTTAGCACGACCGAAAAGGCATATGCTATTTCGTTGTCGACCCAGTCTGGACAGACCGCATGAAATTGAGACGTAAAATATTTTTGGTCATAAAATAATAAAATAATAGTTATTTAAATTATGTTTGCAAAACTGATAAACCACTTGTTTTTTCGTTGTCGACCTGGTCTGGACAAGCCGTATAAAATCATGATGTAAAATAATTTTTCTTTAAATAATTGTTATTTAATTTATGTTAGCACAACCGAAAAACCATATGTTTTTTCGTTGTCGTCTCGGTCCATACCATACTGACTGATCGCATGATCAAATCCAGACGTAACATATTTTGTCATAAAATAATAGTTAGTGTGGCCAAAAATATTTATATTGAAAAAATAAGTTTTCGATCAGTTTAATTTTAAAATTAAAAATAAAAAGTTCAAAAATTCTCGTTATCTGGCCAGCTAAGAAGGATAGGGAAAAAAAATTAGGAATCGCCCCTAGAAAAAAAATAAAAAAAATCTAGGCTGGCATATTTGTTTTCCTCGTTATCTAGCCAGCTAAGGAGAGGGAAAAAATTTTAAGAATCGCCACTGGAGAAGAAATGGAAAAAAACGCATTTGTTAGGATTTGAACTACAGTCTTCGATACGGCTGAAGAAGCCATGTACCACCAGGCTATGTCCACTTCATGTAGGAGTTGTCCGTTCGACTTACTTATTCACGTTAGGTGCCATTGACAACGTAAATAGTTTCCATTCACAACGTAAATAGTTTTCTCCAGGTATTTATATAGGTGGAAATGGTATAACAGAACACAATAGATGCAAAGATTATAAACGCCCATTCCTTTTTCTCATCATATAAACAATATGATATCCTAGATATTTAAAAATAAGATCTAACCACCAATTCTGTATATAACTAATGTAGAACATTATTACAGGACTTATGTATGCAAATAAAAAGTTGAATCGATCTGGCTCAATCACTTAGACAATCCAAGGAAATATACGAATGACATTTTCGTCCAGAAAAGCTATTGTGGTGAAGAAGCCTTCATCGCAGTAAATCTCCATCCAAAATTACTGCCATAAAAATAAAGTGCTCCCCAAGTGAAGATATAAACAATATAAGGAAATCATTGATAATGGACAGATAGATAGTGAAAAACCTTCATAACCTCACCTTTAATTAGTTACTATGTTATTGACAGTTGTTCCTTCTATATCTCTTCGAATCCATGTCTGACCATCATGTGCACTGTCAAATAGCTCCCCAAGATTATTGACATGGTATGGTTCGCATTCCACATCATTCCATTCTTCGCCCAGTTCAAATACATCTCTAGGTTTCATCTTCCTTACAATAGACCACCCTGGATTTAAATGGTCTTCAATGTAAAACACTTGGTCGACTTGATTTGCAAATACAAAGGGCTCATGCTCAATCTTTTCACCGGTATGAATTTATTTGAGAAATTCACAAGTGTGCAGCCAAACATATCTATTTTCACTCCTTTTCCTTTAGTTACATCGACCCATTCACATTTAAACAACACAACTGAGAAATTTCCGTAGTAGTCTAACTCAATTATATCAAGTATCCTTCCGTAATACATGATATCACCAAGGACAGGGTTAGTATCACTGGCGGACGTGTAGCTCGATGTTTTTGCAGTCACAACAATTCCACTGTTTTGAGTCACCCTGTCATAACGCTTTGATATGAACCTATACCCACGGGTATTGAATGCTCTATGTCATTTTGCTACCTCAATTGGTCCACGTGCCAGCCATCTAATATCCTCATCAATACTATCGATACCTCTTTGATTCTCCAACTGCAAGATCTACACCAAACCAAAAGATGTATTAGTTGTACTCATATTTGAAAAAGAGAAACCTAAATTTTGAGACTTACATGATCTCTGAACCAATCAGGGAATTGTTCATTTTGCATGTTCTCAATGTTTTTTGGAGTTAGCCTTTTGCGTTTCTTCCTTTGCAAATTAGCAGCATGTTCTCTGCAAAACAAATAAACATAAATTTGAAGCAAAACACTTACAACACATAAAAAAAAGGCTATGTTAGGACAATACGTACTTTAGATATGGCACTACAGCATCACAGTTGTATAGCACATATCTATGTGCTTGCAATTTCTCTCTATCAGTTAAGGAGTACGCCGATGGTTTTCCCAATGGTTTTCCTACTGGAGGAAACAAAGTGGATTCTTGCCTACTCATGGGAGTCTCAAATTGATCTGGTTTGTCATTATTCCTTGATGGTATGTTATGCTTGGTAGGGAAACCTTCCAAGTATCGCGAACAAAATGCCATGCACTCATCTGCCAAATATGATTATGCAATTGAACCTTCTGGACGCGCTTTGTTGCGAACATTACGACTTCAATTTACCTAGGTACCTGTAATATACATACAAGGCACAAAACTAATAAGTTAGTATTGTATCATATGACATATGAGAAATATTATAAATTGTATGCTAATATATTTTTAGTACCTTTCAATAAAGTACATCCATCGATAGCAAACTGGCCCAGCAATCTTACATTCAGTAGCTAAATGGACGACTAAGTGAACCATAACAGTGAAGAATCTAGGAGGAAATATCATTTCCATTCTACACAATGTGATTTTTGCTTCTTCCAAACGGTCAAGCTCATCAACATGGAGAACTTTTGAACATATTCCTCGAAAGTAAGCAGATAAGTCAAACAAGACAGATGTGACTTCATTGGGAAGAATACCCCTCAAAGCAATTGGCATCAATTGTTGCATTAGAACATGGCAATCATGTGTTTTGAGCCCATGAATTTTTCCTTCAGCAGAGTTCACACATCTAGATATGTTTGAAGAATAGCCATCAGGAACTTTTATATCCCTAAGAACTTTACAGAACAATTGCTTCTCACTTTTGGACATAGTAAAGCTGGCAGGTGGTAAGTAGAACTTGCTTGAAGTTCTTTGTTGTGGATGGAGCTCCCCTCTAATGTTCATTTCCTTGAGATCAAGATGAGCTTGGAGATTATCCTTTGACTTTCATTCTAAATTTAGAAGTGTACCATAAATATTGCATCACATCAAGATTATGCCGAAGAAGATTGACATCCTAGTAAGGTAGTGTGAATAAACTACTTACTGCCTTATAAGTTTTTGACTTCTTAAAATCACCGATAGAATTTATTTCATCCAATACCAGACGCCCATAGTAAGTCATAGGCTCTGTACTAATCTCTGTGGTTCCATCCAAAGAATTTCTATCAAAACGAAATTCATGATTAGGTGGCAAAAATCGACAATGACCCATAAAACAAGATTTCTTCCCATGTGCCAAACGTTTGGACCATACATTTGGACCACAAGGCGGGCATGCAAATTCTCCATGCACCATATGTGAAGCAAGCATTCCTAAAGCTGGCAAGTCATTTATAGTCCACAGTACAGCTACCCTCAAATTAAAAGTTTCATTTCTAAATGCATCATATGTGGAAATGCCATTGGCAAATATGTCTCTTAAATCTTCTAGAAGCGGCTAGAGGAAAACATGAATGTTATCTCCAGGACTTTTGGGCCCAGGAATTATTAATGGCATTAGAAGATTAGGTTCCTTCATGCAGAGCCATGGTGGAAGATTATATATTACTAAAACAACTGGCCAGCAACTATAGGTAGAGCTCAACATACCATATGGGTTAAACCCATCTGTAGCTAACCCAAATCGTATATTACGAGAATCAGATGCAAATTGCTTGAATCTTTTATCAAAGTTCTTCCATGCCGGAGAATCAGCTGGATGTCGAAGCACACCATCCTCTACTAAGCGCTCTTCATCATGCCAACGTGGGAGCGATGCTGTTTCTCTACACATGAACAATCTTTTCAGCCTCTCCTTTATTGGAAAATATCGTAAGACTTTGATTGGTGTTGCTTTCTTTCTTTCTTTCTTCGTTAACTTGGTTTCTGGTTTTTTATCTTTCCATCTAGAAGCCTTACAAGTTGAACAAAAATCATCATTAACCTTCTCTTTCCAAAACAGCTGACAGTTATTGGGACATGCATGAATTTGTTGATAATCTAGACCAAATTTTGAAACCACCTTCTTAGCCTCATAAAAGTTTTTTGGCAATTCTTTTCCATTTGGAATTGCCATGTGAAGAATATCAAGTAGATCTCCAAATGATTTATCACTCCATTTGTTCATGGATTTCATATTGAACAAAAGCACTAGCAGAGATAAGTGTGATAGTTCACATCCATCCCATAAAGGCTTCTTTGAATCTTTCACCAACTCATAAAATGCTTGAGCTTCTAAATTTGGTCCATCAGTGTGTGTACATGGCGAATCTGCAGAATCACTCATAGGCATGTCGTCATACACAGTCCTAAGTGAGTCATTAATTAATTCGTGCATGTTAGCACGCATGTCTTCATTGTGAGGCTGTGGTTGTTGGTTCCTAATTTGCTCCTCTGAAGACTCACCATGAAAATCCCATTGGTTATAACTCTGAAGCATTCCATTGCACACCAAATGATCATAGACATCATTTTTTGAAAGTAGCATAGTATGTACGCATGTTTCACATGGACAATAAATCTTTGTATCCTCTAACTTATCTTTATATGCAAATTCAAGAAATCCATCTACTCCAGCTAAGTACTCAACAGAACCTCTAGGGTAGCGCAAAAGAATCTTGATGGTTTCTAAATCCATTTCGACCTATATAAAAAAATTTGATATTTCAGGTTCTTGTAGATAATAACAATGACAAGGAATTGTCTCTTATGATCATGATGTAGCAAAAATAGGGCAATTAGAAAAATACCAGTATAAAATCAGTGTCAGCTAATTTTGTCACAACCTAATAGACCTCCTTTATACACTGAAACAAAAGCTTTTACTCTGCAAAAATAGAGAAGAGTTAAATCAATTTACAGAAAAAACATCCAGCAATCTAATGTCAAAGCTGTCATCTCCAAGTTAAATTCCTTACTATAAATTACCTCTAGTTAATCTACAGATGATGACTCTAGAAGCACATGCGTTTAAAACCTATGTTCCAAATATCCGTTCGGATGAACAAGAAAAATCTGCAGGTGTTATTAAACTCAATCAGATAGACTCATGATGCAACAAACCTGAATAATTAAAAAAAGTTGACATTGACCTGGATCTGACACTGACCTGGATTTGGGGCCAAATGGGGAATCAACCTATGAGAAGTGGCTAAGAAAAGGACCGTGCTTGCCGTTGACCCGCTGTCGTCAGCCTCGGCCCGTCGCCGGCCTGCCGCGGCCGATCCCCTCGCGGGCTCGCCGCCGCCGCTGCTGAGAACGCGCCGCTGGCCGTCGGTGTGCGCCGTGGCAGTGATGTGCGAGTGCGTGAGAAGAAAATGAGATGCGGTGTGGGAACAGGATGGGGCGGCGCTCTCGTGCGTGTTGGGTGAGGTGAGAGACACGAGAGGAGAGGAGAGGAGAGAAAGTGGGAGACTAAGGTTGCCTGCTAAAGTGCTAATTTCACAGATCGTATTTTAGTTGTTATGATATAAACATCTAAAGAAATCATTTAATAAGAAATGTGATTAGCTCAGTTGGTTGGGTTGCGCACATTCTATCCTTGAGACCCAGGTTCGAATCCTCTGTTTGCATCTTTGCCCCCCTAATTTATTCATATCAGGTATCAGCAGCTCGCTCAGTTATTATTATTTTTTAAAAAGCATGCTTAGTCCAAAAGTTTTAACAGGAAAAAAAAGCAACTCACTTGATAATTTCTTTTAAAAAACAGTTCGCTAGAGGTCCGAAATGAAAAATAAATATCTCACTCGATTATTTTAAAAAATACAATAAGTTCGCTTATTCCAAAAGTTTTTACAGGGCATCAAGACCATTGCAACGCATGATATCTGTTGTAAAGTGGATTCGGTCGTTGCAAGATACTCAATCTCTGCAACGCATGTTCTGCAACACATATTATCTATTGCAAATTGGGCTCACCCACTGCTAAGCGTTGCTAGGGTCGCATTTTGGCAACGCATGCTTAATGCGTTGCCAAGCATGTATTGCTAGAGGGGGGTTCTTGTTGTAGTGTATCTTTCTTAAGTTGATATCGTGCATCAAACATTCCTGGTGCCTCTCAAGCCTAGATTGGTAGCTAGTTACCCAGAGATGAGCAATGTGAGTAGCTAGCTAGAACGCTAGATTTACTTGGTAGAACAGTAACCCACAATGCTTGCAATGATGGATGGCCTTGCTGTGTGTACTGTTTGATTTTTGAAACCCCAACATTCGTCTCGATTGTGATCAGCTCGATCTCTGCTTTCTTGTCTAGATGTGGTACTGAATATATATCACAACTAGGACTAGGAGTAGTCGATTTGTTTATTATGAGGACACCTACCAGTGAGTACTTGTTGGGAGTAGTTAGAACCAACTTTAATTTTGTGAAGAAAATTAAAACGGAAACATGCATACACAATTAGTGAGACAACATATAGTATATAGGAGTAGAAGAACGTCCAAAATAGTCATTTTCAAACCGAGGGAAAATATGTAGTGCAAGCTACATATATATATAGTGAAAAATTAAAAACTAGTGTTGGATCCAAAAATGGATACATGAGATTTGTCCACATCACCAAAAATAAAAATAGAAGAGAAAGAAGCTACAGCTCGGAGGTGCGGTGGCATCGCAGAAAGACAAAAAGGAATAAACGGGGAGAGCGAGGAGACAGGGTGAGGGGGGAGAATGGATGGATATTTGAGACTTGGGATCGAAGGAAAGAGTGGTCCAGAGTTATTCTAGACTTTTTTTTTCTCGGCTCGCTGGTCGGCTCATGTTGTTTGGTGCCGGTTTTGCTCTCCATCCGGCACTAATGTTTGTTCCATCGTTCAATGCTATGCATTTTTAGGACGTGTACGAGAGTTTGAGGGGCACGAAACCCTTAGGGCATCCACAATGTGACCATAAAAGTGAGCCTTAAGACTTTTTTTCAGCTATATACATTGTGGACATGGACATAAGGCATTAAATGCTTAAAAACAGCTCTAAGCTTATAGTTGAACTTAAGAGATTAAAAAATGATATATAATGGAACCTATCAGCATATGGTTGTGAATTGGTGGTATGTTTCTTCTTTGATGGAACCCAGTGGGACCCGGCTTGTTTCTCATCCAAGGCCATAACCATTGTAGAGATAGATATAGCTAAAGCTATCTACACATGGGCCCACCCCTATCGCTCATTCAGCAACCCAACATTGAGGTTGCCCTTATCAGTGCTAGGTTTAATTCAACCGTTACTACTCATAGGAGCGGCACCCATGTGATATGTGCTGTAGTAGTGGAGGGGAAGGGCATGCACATCAACTGCCGGGACTGTCGCGCATGTATGGCAAGGGTAAGACCCTG